GGGAGGGGCGGAGCGAGCCAGCCCCTGGCTGAGAAGATCTGAAATGCGAGCGGTAATAAGGTGGTCGTGTTCACCGCGTGGTGGGAATCTGGAAGCCAGGAAAGAACGAGGGTGAGGGTGATGGAGGAGGAAAGGTCAAACCGCAAACTCCAGCGGGAGGACAGGAGCCTGGAACGCCCTGGGCACCTAGTCACCTTCACCTTAGTCGTGATAGTGCGCAGCGTCCCGGAGCCTGGCTAAGAGGTAGGAGCGGGATAGACGCTTCCCTAACTCATTTTCTTTGCCTTCTCAGGAAAAGGGAGCGATGTTGATCTCTAGAAGCACAGATGGACCTTCCTAGCCCTTGCTGAACTACGGAGGTAAGGGAGTGCGGCGCTGCCCCAGGGCGGGCCAGTGCCCTGACTGAGGGGTGCCAGGGGAGCCCTGCTCCCGGAGCGACTGTTGTAGGGTTTTTAGAAAACCACAGATCTGTTCTCAGAATCTAGTCTGTTACTGGGTCAGGTTTTTCCTGTCTTCCTTTGCTCTCTCTTGTGCCTTCTAGGAGAAGTCTGCACACATCATGGAAATAGAATTTTATCAGGAAGTCCTATCAGCAGAGTATCTTGTACGTTTATGTGCCATGTTGGGATTTTCCTGTCTCTGACCAGCTGCCTAACTATACCACTAACCCCATAGTGTTCTATGTTCTTTGCACACAGCAGATATCATCTTTCCTCTTCCTCCCCAGTAGTTCTCATCATCTCTATCATAGCAGTGAAAACTTGCCAAGGACAAATGGGAAAACTCAGGGTGTTACAATGTGCAAAGCCCCAGGGCATCTTTAGGTTAAACCAGAGTTTAAGCCCAGGCCGGACATGGTGGCTCTTGGCTGTAATCCCAACACTTTGGGAGGCTGAGATGGGTGGATCACCTGAGGTCAGGAGACCAGCCTGGCTCACGTGGTGAAACCCTGTTTATACTTAAAAAAAAAAAAAATTAGCGCCGGGCGCGGTGGCTCAAGCCTGTAATCCCAGCACTTTGGGAGGCCGAGGCGGGTGGATCACGAGGTCAAGAGATCGAGACCATCCTGGTCAACATGGTGAAACC